CAAGCATTTCGAACAGAAAATATTGATTTAATGTTCATCTTTCATTTTTTCCTCATCGATATTTATAATTAATTACAAAACTTTTATTCAAAACAATTTTTAAATAATTCAAGATATCCAAATGACAAACTTATGGCGTATCGAGGACAATCTATGAGAATGGTAGAATTCGATCAAATCAAGGGCAATATTGGATGTTTAATATCGATCAATGCATTTTTTTCTAGCTCAAAAAACTCCGATATGGCAAAGATCTACTCAGGTTCAACTACGACAGATTCAGAATTCTTGTCAGTTATATTTGAAATTGAAGTTCATCTAACTCATCATGCGACGAAACGACCATTTGCTTCTATTGAACATTTGAGCCAATTTCCCGAAGAAGAAGAAATATTATTTTCTCGGTTGGTGCATTTTTTCGCATTCTCAATGTCGATGATCGACGAGCAACCGATGATCATTGCCTGGTTAAAATAATGATGGTCGAAAATGACGATGATTTGAATGAACTTCGCAGCGAACGAATTAGATCGGGAATATTCACATTATGGGAATCTCTGTGATTTAGGTTCTGCTTTAATCGGTATGAGTGATTATGATCGAGCAGAAAGATATTTTCAAATGTTACTGGAACACACACCAGAATCGAATCCATCGTTTGGTCTTATACAAAATTTTCTGGGCATTATTTATGTCAATTGAGGAGATTATCAGAAAGCATTTGAATTTCAAAAACGAGCATTAAAATTTTGGACTCAAGATTCATTGATTCAAAGTAATCAACATCACATTGCTAATACCTATGCTCATCTTGATGCTGCTTATCGTCATCTTGAATAATTTGATTTAGCATTGAAATACTTATTAATGGCAGTCGATTTGCAATCACCGACCACATCATTATCATTTACTTATAATGAAATTGCCATCACCTACCGAAATAAAGGTGATAATCGATTAGCATTGGATTATTTTTTAAAAGCTCTGGATATCAAAGAAAATGTTTTAAAATGCAACAAATATCATCCGGAATTAGCCATGGCGTATAATAATATTGGCGAAATCTATTTTCATTTAGATGCTTATGATAATGCTTTACACTATTTGACACATGCCTTCGAAATACGTCTGAAAGGTACCGTGGCGACACACACCGATCTAACTGCTATCTATCATAATCTAGGAGGGATATATTTGAAAAAAAAAGATTTTACAAAAGCATTAGAAATGCACACGAAAGCCTTAGAAATCGATAGTCAAATATTCCATGACGATCATGAATCGTTAGCTATGTCACACCATCAGATCGCCATTGTTCAATTAGAATTACGAGCTTTATCAGACGCTTTATATCATGCAGAAAAAGCCTTAAGAATAATGTTACGTTCACAAGCCAAAGAGAATCTTTCTATGGTCTCGACTTTTCAATATAATCTTGGACTTGTTCAATATCAATTAGACAACACGAGAAAAGCGTTAAAAATGGCCGACAAAGCACTAAATAATCTCTTAGCTTGTTCCGTCGAGCATCAAAAAATGATGGCCGCTATCTATAATTTTTTTTCGTTGATCTATGAAAAAGAAGAAGATATAGTCAAAGCTCTGGAATATGTGAAGAAAGCGATCGAACAAGCAAAGATTTGGGCTACACGTACTCGTACTTTTGAATTAGAAACCTATTTAGCACGATTGGATCAATTGAGAAATAGGGAATGTGCCAAATCATTCACATTTGGAAAAATTTCTCTCGATCATTTTACGAATCAAGATGATCTCATCCGACAATTCAATGAAGAATTTCAACGAATTTCACCAACGGATATTTTCGAACGTCTTCAATTAATCAATAATTTAATCATCATTTGCTCAAGACAGAACAATTTTTCTTTAGTATTCAAATATTTCAACGAAGCAAATCTTATTTATTCGGAACATCAATCTTCTAATTTGATAACTAAAGAACAACTCGATGAAATCATGATTAATATCTTATTCAATACAGCGAGATCCTACTATCGTCAACAAAATTGGACCATGAGTTTG